GTGTCCGGCCCCATCCYGACAGCTGGACCGATGCCCGGGATGAGCCGGGGCAGCTGCTCCGGGAGCGGCTCCGTGGCCAAAGGAGATCCCAGGGGACAGGGATGGGCCGGAGGCCATGGCCGACAGCGTCCTGGACAATCCTGGACAATCCCGAACAATCCTGGACAATCCTGGACAATTCCAGATGATCCTGGACAGTCCCAGGCGATCCTGGACAATCTCAGACAGTCCTGGACAATCTGTGACAATCCCAAACAATCCCTGACAATCCTGGACAATTTTGGACAATTTCAGATGATCCCGGACAATTCCAGACAACCCCAGATGATCCCAAATAATCCTGGACAATCCCGAACAATCCCGGACAATCCCAGACCATCCTGGATTATCCTGGACTAGCCTGGACAATCCCAGAAAATTCTGAACAATCCCAAACAATTCTGGACCATCCCAGACCATCCCAAACAATTCCAGACAATCCCAGACAATCCTGAATAATCCCGGGCAATCCCAGACAATCCCAAACAAACGCAGACAATCCTGGACAATCCCAGAAAATCCTGAACAATCCCGGACAATCCCGGACCATCCTGGACCTTCTCGACCATCCCAAACAATTCTGGACAATCCCAGACAATTTTAGACAATCCCAAACAATCCTGGACCTTCCCGATCATCCTGAACAATTCTGGACAATCCCAGCCCATCCTGGACAATCCCAAAAAAAACCCTAACAATCCCACACCATCCCTGACAATCTCAGAAAATCCCAAATAATCCCCAGCAATCCCACACAATCCCGAACAATCCCAAACAATCCCTCAGATCTGCAGGGCCCAAGGCGGGGAGGAGGCTCAGGAATTCATGGGATGTTTTCCAGCTCCCCCAAACCCAATGTTCCCAGATCCCAGGAAAATCCTCCGGGATTCCCAAACCTTGTCCCGAGCCATCCCTGGGAATTCTCCCTTGGAGCTGTCCCTGGGAATTCTCCCTCGGAGCTGTCCCTCGGAGCTGTCCCTGGGAATTCTCCCTGGGAGTTGTCCCTGGGAATTTCTTCATGGAGTTGTCCCTGGGAATTTCTTCATGGAGTTGTCCCTGGGAATGCCTCCGTGGAGCTGTCCCTGGGAATTCTCCAGTGGAGCTGTTCTTGGAGCTCTCCCTTGGAGCTGTCCCTGGGAATTTCCCCGTGGAGCTGTCCCTCGGAGCTGTCCCGGGGAATTCCTCCATGGAGCTGTCCCTGGAAATTTTCCCTCAGAGCTGTCCCTGGGAATTTCTTCCATGGAGCTGTCCCTGGGAATTCCTCCATGGAGCTGTTCTTGGAGCTCTCCCTTGGAGCTGTCCCTGGGAATTYCCCCGTGGAGCTGTCCCTCGGAGCTGYCCCKGGGAATTTCTCCATGGAGCTGCCCCTAGGAATTTCTCCATGGAGCTGTCCCTGGGAATACTCCCTTGGAAGTGTCCTGTGGAGCTGTCCCTTGGAGATAACCCTGGGAATTCTCCCTCGGAGCTGTCCCTGGGAATTCCCCCTGGGAGCTGTCCCTTAGAGCTGTCCCTGGGAATTCTCCCTCGGAGCTGTCCCTGGGAGCTGTCCCTTGGAATTCCTCTGTGGACCTGTCCCTTGAAGCCACTCCTGGGAATTCCCCCTGGGGAACTGTCCCTTGGAGATAACCCTGGGAATTCTCCCTTGGAGTTGTCCCTTGGAA